GAGCGGCACCGGCAGCTGTCTGCTCTGCCAGGATTTGGTGATGAGCCACATTGTCACTCACTGGGAGGAGAGCTGAGTTTTCTTACATAATTAACGTTTAAACTTTTTTTTTTTTTTCAAGGCAGCTTGAAGAAGTGGACCAGCAATTGAAGAATCCCGTGTGGCACTTCTTATAGCAGTTGTTTTCTTCTGCATTTCTCAGATAAGAGGCAATTCAAGCAACTTTTGTTCAGGATTAGATTTGTGTTGTGCACTTTTCAGGCACCCTGAGGGAAAAGGAAGATTATATCCTTATCTGAGTTTGTTTTACAGTGTGAAAGGTCTCTGTAAAAATTTAAGACATCCTTTAGAGCTAAATGTAATTAAGCGTTGTCTTCTACCCCTTCCTCAAATCAAAAACCCCAGGCTTGATTTAAAAGGCTTTTAAACCTTTTAAGCATATAAGCAAGGCAAAAGAGAAGTCTGGAAGTTCAATTTGCACTTCCATAGAAGATTTCAAAGTTCTTTACATTCTTCGCTCAGCTTTGGGACAAGGCACAGAAATGCTGGTATTTTCTGTAGAAAGGGAAAATTTTAAAATAAAAATCAATTCAGAATCCAGTTCTGGGCAAAATGGCACCTCCTGACTCTTCAGAACATCTGGTGAAATCCTACAACCTCAAGAATTCGGAGTCAATTATTAATTTTGTATGATGAATAGAAAAGAGTAAGTGAAGCATCACCTGCAAAGCCGTGCATCTTCAGCCCTGCGACTGGCTGGCCAGGCTTGCAGGGCTGGGAGGCAGAGCCTCAGCAGTGCAGGAATCTCCAGGATTGTGGAGACCCAAGTCAGCACACCCTTAGGGTGAGGTGTAATGGCACATAACCTCCCTGCGTGGCGTTGTGCCCATGCTTATAAACCAGGTTTAATTAAAATCTTGGATATTTACCGTGAGATAACTCGCCCACATCTCTCTGAGCTGCAGTGCTTGCGGAGCAGCCTGAGCCCTGACCACTTACCTACAATGTCCATATGAACCCCAAAGCTTTCAGTCTTCACAGAGGGAGGTACACACAGTGCGCTTGGGATAATGCTCCAGAAATCATGGCAGGAGAAGGAAGGGTAGGCTGTATCCCAAACTCAGGTGGGCATGGACACATTTCCCAGGAGTGCCAGGGGCAGCCTGTGCTGCCAGTTGGGCATGTGGAGCAATACTGAGCTGCCGATCAGCAAAGGGGGAGTGAGGAGCAGTGAACAGAATTGCCTGAGGAAGGAGAGGTGAAAAGCTGAGCATAGCATTCTGGCTGAGTCAGAGGGAGGGGAGGAGGCTTATGTGGAGCTAGTCCTGCTGGTGTCCTGGGAAAGAGGGGTGCAGCTTTCAATCCTCAGATTGGCATAGTGTTGGGGAACAGGTCTGGCTTGTCTGGGTCACAGAGTACCCCAGGGTATCCCCATCTCCCAAACATCCTGCATCCCACCACTCTTTGCCTCAGCATCCCCTGTGCCACCTCAGGTGCTGGTGAGAGCTCCCTTGCTTCTGTTCAGCTCACTGTCACAGGAAAATCTATCAAAATTTTGTTTGTTTTTTTTTCTCCTTAGTTTTCTATAAGGTGACCAGTTAATTTGGCTCTGGGATGAGGTTTGACAGAGCTCAGGACCTGGCACAGGGTGAGAAGTGACAGCACATACCTGTGACTTGGTTAGAACTCTTTCCTTTTTGGCACTGAGCTGAATGGAGCAAGGTTGTTTTGTGGAGCATCCTCACAGCCCCACCCACTAATCTGAAAACACCAACCTGACAGAAGGCAAGAAACACAACTCTATCATTCAGAAGAGGGGATCCAGCTCGTGGGACTCCAGTATGGGGCAGAGTTGGGAGCAGTCTGAAGCCTCCTGGGACCAAATCCTGGTCTTGCAATATCACTAAACATACATTTATGCATGCCATGCAGCATGGCATGACTTCCAGAGCCATTCCCATCAATATCCACAAGTTGTATGTTGTGTGGCATTTTTAATCTTTACAGCTGGAGATTAGGAAGTGCAGAATGAAAGCTGTACTGTAAGTAAATAGATTATGTGGAGTTTAGAGAAACTAAGCTGCAATCTTAAATTCAAATAACTTTCCTATTAGGAAGGATCTATTAATACTTACGGTATGGTAATTGTGCAGACTCCAAGTCCTCATCCAGTCAAAAGTAAGCCTTAAGAGCCCATACCTACCCATGGAAAAATCCCCTTAAAACACTGGGAATTTTGCCTATGTAAATACTGCAGAACTTGAACTGCAAATGCCTCTTTTATAAACTACGAAATCAGAGCTTGATCACAACAGCAAAACTTTAGTAAGAAATTTAAGGCAGTGCACACTGCTGCAAGAATACACTTGGAACCCAGACTTCCTGAGGTTTTGCACTGCTTTTCCCCCTTGTTACCATTTCTTTTTCCCTATAGGTGAGGCCATCCCCAGTACTAATCTTTGTTCTTTGTGCCTCAGCCTCTCTGGGTAAGCATCATCTTCCTTTTCCTGCTCCATCCTCTTGCTGGCCCAACGATTATCCCACAAGGCAGACAGTTCCCCTTTGATGGTTGCTCCTCAATGCTACAAGATATCTGAGAACAGCCAACTTTCCTCCTTCTGTCTAATCTGTGTGGTCAAAAAGTGAAAGATTTCATTCTCTTCAAACAGCTGACCACCCTCTCCTGCCTCTCTCATTTCATCTGCTGGTGCTGGTAACAAGGATACCACTCTGGGCTGCCTTTCTCTTTGTTTTGGAAGCTCTCATAAAGGCTTCTCTTTAAAAGACATTTTCAGCAGTTGTGTCAAAGCTGGATTTTTAAGTTGTAAGTCTTTCACATTTGTTTGGAGGGAGTGAAACTTGCAAGTTCTTAGTGTATACTTAATTTTCAAACTTGTTATCTGTGCCAAGCCAACTCTTTTTGGTCCTCGTTAAAAGGATTTAAATACACTCATCTACTGTAGTCCTTTAAGCTCCTGCTTCCTCCCTGGGGTTCTGTTCTTACCCCATGTAGTGTGCTGCTGCCATCAAGGTCTGAATCACTGGGTCGTTTGGGGACTTGTTCCCCCAACCCATAGGAGGCTGGGAAATGCTCCCTGCTATTCCCAGCAATACCAGCACAACACTGCTGTCACAACTTGTCACCTTTGGGCCCATATCCTGGTCCCCATTTTAGGGCCAGTGGCTGAGGGAGATGTGAAATGATGTGCCAGGATGCTGCAGAAACATTGGTGCCATTCCACTCCCCTGAATACTGAGATGTGCACACTGAGGTGACTAATTCAAGGTCACCCAGGGAAATACTACACAAACATCCTTCATCTCAGTCCTGGGTCAAACTGTGCAACTCAAACATCTTCCCCTGTGTCCTGTGGGAGCCAACCATTGCTCTGCACAGAGGTGTAAGGTGGGGCACAGTGGACTCACAGATATCATCCCTCCTCTTTGCCTGGGTAGGGAACCACCATTTGGGAACAGAAGGTGGAAGAGGGAAAGCAAACGAGTCTGTCACACTGCTCCGCTTACAAGCAAGGAAAGTGGTGCTCTGTGTGCCTCAGAAACAACTTTGACCCTGGAAAACAGATACACGAGTAGGAACTAGGGACTGGGTGGGAGGAACAGCAAAGCCCACGTAGACACTGCAAATGTGTGGGATTCTCATCTTCAGGTCAGCACAGATGGACATAATGATCCCTTGAGGCTCTCCACTTGAAACTGCTGGTTCCAGCTTGCCCCTCCCCTGCTCCCAGCATTGCTGCTGATCGTGCACTGCTCTGCTCCTTCTCTTTACACCTCTTATCTGCCACGTGGAACGTGCTCAGGGAAGCCCAGCTTCTGGGTCTGCAGTCTGCCAGTTCCTTTGGCCTAATAAGCAGTTATAGATCCCATTGCCCTTTTAATACAGGTAAACCTAGGACAGGTCCTAAAGTAGCTAAGAAATATTAATTCTGACTCTTCCCATTTCAAGCTAAACATTATATTGGTTTATCTTTTGTGTTTGACATGCTATAAATCAAACAGGACTTGAATACACTCCTCATGACTTTTGATATTATGTACATGTGCATCTCTGCTGTGTTCCTGGTGCCTTTGCCAAAACATTAACAGTAATACTAGGACTAAATAGAGCAGATGTTCTGTAATCCCACACCAAAAGGCAACCTGGGGATGTTGGAAATTATGCGGGTACAAAAAGCTTTATCCCTCGAGCCATGTACTTTTGCTATATAAACAAATTATCATAACAGTTCTGTGAGGTGTCACCATCACCTTATGAAGAGGAGACTAAGATGATTGATTTGGCAAAGAACATGGGGTCACGGAGCTCTGACCTCATGGTAGTTCCACCCTCCCTCTCCATTATGTATGCAGTCTAAGTGTATAATGTAATATTTCAGTGGAGGGATCATTAAACTGTAAAACTGTATATTAGGAAGGTTATTTTCATTCTTTCCCCAAATAGTAGATTGTCTCCATAGATAACAAAATACAAATATCCAGTTAAGCGGGGAAAAAGCTAAGGAACTTTACAGATATCAAGTTCTTTTACCCTACACTCATTGATTTCCCTTGGGGTATAACAAGGTACTCAGCTAAAAGCAAAGATGTCTCCCTGGGGGAAGTCTTTACAATGTTGTATTTGTATTGTGGTAGGAAGTCTCTATCAGTTATAAAACCATCAAAAAAATTGTCAATGGCCAGAAAGTTGGGAATGTTTCAGGCCTAATCCAGTGCCTGTCAAAACTCATCATCAAAACTTCCACTGACTTGGAGAAGTGCAGAATCTCTGTCATTTCCAGGAGCTATTTTACAGCATCACATCTTGCTCATTAATATCCGCCTGACAAGCATATATAATATCCAGTATTTCTTTACCAAGATGCAACAGCTTGAAAAAAAAACCCATTTATTTTTAACTTAGAAAAATGTCTGTGCTTGCTAAGTCTCAGTACCCAAAACTAGGATGTTTTAAAATTCTTCTCAGGTAGCTGAGGGTTCACAGAACAGATGGACACAGGGAGGAAGAAGATAATAACGGCAGCCCATCACTTTGTAGCACTGCTGGTACCACATCATTACCACAGCCAGAATGTGCAACAGACCACAGCCATTTTCCCCTCCATGCTAAATGATTAAGAGGTGCTGCTTAGATGTGATGCTTCAGATTTGTCAGCAGTCTCCAACTCGCAGGGTATGTTGAGGAAACAGCTCTCTACTTATAAGTGCTCCTGTACTCTTACACCTCTGAAAGCAGCATTGATAAGGAACAGACTGGAAATGCTTAGTGTGGAAGATTCAGCATATAAACACAGGACAAAAATGCAAAAAGAGATTTGGTCTCTCCCCAACTATGCTGTGTTTGCCCTGGATGAAGAAGTGGTGAACAAGTTCTATTTTTAGCTGCACACACTGTGCTGTCTCACGATGGCTGTCGCTGCCTGAGCAGCTGGGGACACCTAACACAGGATCCCTCACTCTGGTTTCTTCCTGAACTACTACTTTGCTGTCAGGTGCCTGCAGCCTTGGCTTTGCTACTTAACTTCACTATCAGGCTCCACTTTTGCAACCAAAATAGGGGACTTAACAGTAATAAGTTTATTACAAGATAGAGTTTAGGT